AAAAATAAATTTATATAAATTTTTTTTATTTATATTTAATAATAATTTTTATATCTTAATTATTTTTAATTCTATGACAGAAAAATATATTTTCAGCATAAAAATATAATACATAAGAATTAGTTTTAGTTTATAGAAATATAATATTATTAATAGAATTTTTTATTGTATAATAAATTATATATAAAATTATTAAAACATGACAAATCAACATTGCTTGATTTATATTTATATTTAATTATAATTATAATATCTTAATTTTTAATTTGTATAATAGAAAATATATTTTCGATATAACAATATAAATATATATTTTAAAATATAATATATTAGTATAAAGTCATTTTTATATAATAATTATACATTATATATCAAATATTTAAAATATGAAAAATAATCAAAATTACCTAAGTTAGAAATCTATCAGCAAATTCACTTTAAACTCTGTAGTAGAAAAATATATTTTCAAGATAACAATCGATTACATAAGAATTATTTTAAAAAAAAATATTATTAAATAATTTCATTTTTATTAAATTATAAATTATATATGAAATTATTAAAACATGATAAATAAATAAAATTATCCAATATCATGGAGAAATTTGCACATAAGCAAAATTACTTTTCAAATTATAGTATAGATAAACTGCAATAAATATGCCAAAATAAGTTAATTTATATAGTTTACAAAGAAAAAACCGAAAGGAATACAAATGTATCATTGAAATCAAACTCATGATCAAGAACATTTTTGAGAGGATTAGAGAAGGAGACACTTTGTTCTCTTTTTTAACACAATAAAACACATAGTACTTGAGGAACACTTCCTCCTATTCCCTCCCATGTGTTTATACACATATGCCTTTTTGGTGTGGTTAAGATTTGAGAGGTGAGTTAGTTTTAATACTATAATATTCTGTCTGTTTAATTCCAACGAAAAGGAAAAAGTAATGTGTCACTTGTTTCCTTAAAAGAAACACATAACAACCGTAAGATGATATTCGATCCAACGGTCAGGGTGTCCTCTGTTTGAAAAGTAGGTGAGCTCATAAATGCATGAGCTTACCTCGTTTGTGAAGACGCAGGAGGTGGTCCACCGGTGGTGAAGAAGAAAACTTCCGATTTGCTGCATACTTGAGTACAACTCTGTTTTACATTTTTAAAACAGTATAATAACAGACATTGGTCGACGAATTTATGATATCTTATGTTAATTTGTGGTTTTTTTTCAGGAACTATCTTTGAGGATGGAGGACCAATGTTTGGTTCTAAGCGGGGAGTGGGTGTGCGGAGATGGAGGAAAATGGGATTTCATCATTGAGAAGCATCGTATGGGTCGTATGGTGCATGTATATGATGGCATTGGTTGTGTGGAACTCGAGCGTAGTGTTCTGCGTGAGTTTGGAGTCGATGAATCCCGCTTTGGTGTTGCTTTGAGTTACTGGCCACCAACAACCGTGGAGCTTGCAACAGGGATTAGGACCCCACCGGTCCTGATAACAAGTGATGGGACTGTGAACTATTTATGCAAACATTTGAAAGTAACAGGGGGGATGAACCTGTTTGCTAAGTTTGAAGAGAAACCCAGATTTGTGGACGATTATGTTGTGGATGATTCAGGTTTGGGATTTGTGTCACCAGAAGCAGCAAGGTTTTCGTCTAGGTCATCTAGAGAGAAATGTGATTCAGGTTTGGGATTTGTGTCCCCAGAAGCATCAAGGTTTTTGTCTAGGTCATCTAGAGGGGGTTTCGTTTCATCAGCTGCTTCTAAGACTAAGGTTATAAACCTTGTGGAAGATGATGATATACTACGGCAAGCTGAGAACGTGGAGAGGAGGTTGATGAGTGAGAGACTTAGAACAGATAGCAGCAACGGTATGGATGACAGTGGTTTCAGTCTGGAGCTAACACTGAAGGAGATGTTGTTTTGGAGGAGTTGGAAGTGCGGCCAAGAGGTTATGATAAAGACTTTTGGAAGCCGTTATTAGATGGAGCATATGGAGGTTCAAATGCCGTTAATGTGGTGTTCAATGAGGATGAGATATTTGAAGGGCTAAATAATAAATCAGGGCCGAGATCGTTTGTTGAGGTTGGGGGGGGGGGGTCTAGCAGTGGTGATGGCAATGAAAACTCACCGAAGCCGGAGGATTATAATCCTTGGATGGGAGGTGGTAGTCCTGCTCAGACTGGTGTGAACATGGGGAGACGACCTGCTCGCTTATTAGGCGATGTTGATGACGAGGAGTTTGATATTCCTCCAATGTTTGATGATACTGAATATGATGTGTCTGAGATCCCGGACATGGACGTGGACGAACATGACGGTGAAATAGCTGTTGGAAAGGTTTTTGGCAGCAAGGAGGATTGTCAGATAGCTTTGGCGATTTATGCAATAAAAAACAACTTTAAGTTTAAGCAGACTCGGACGAAGGTTGATTCGTTTGTTGTGGAGTGTCACGATCAGAGGTGTGATTGGAGGGTAACGGCTCATGAGATTAGGGGGTGTGGTTACTATGAGATAAAGAAGGCTCAGCTTGGTCATCTCTGTCCAATAGAATACAGACAAGGTTACAAGAGTAGAGCAACATCTCGTGTCATTGCAGCCGTGTACAAAGCAAAGTTTGGGAACCCTTGTAAGTGTCATGTGCCGCGTGATTTGCAGAAATTTCTATTGGAAGACCTTCGTGTGGATGCTTCGTATATGACGTGCTATAAGGCTAAGGAGAAAGCGATACTTGGGGTGCGTGGTTCAGATGAGGACGCATATCTAAAAATCCCTGAGTATCTGCATATGCTCAAGTTAGCAAATCCTGGTACAATTGCTGATCTAGAGACTGATGTAGACGACGATGGAGATGAACGTTTCCTATATTTGTTCCTTGCATTTGGGGCATCAATTTGTGGATTTAGAAAGTTGAGGCATGTGTTGGTGATAGATGGTACCCATCTTAGCGGGAAGTACAAAGGAGTTCTCTTGACAGCTAATGGGCAGGATGCTAATTTCCAGATTTTCCCGCTTGCTTTTGCAGTAGTGGACGCTGGGGACGAGGATGCTTGGACATGGTTTTTGCAAAAAGTGGAGAGGATTTTAAGCGATTCCCCATCTCTTGCCATAATTTCTGACAGGGCTTCGTGTATTGCCAATGCTGTGAGTAAGATTTATCCCCAAGCCAAACATGGAGCTTGCATAGTACATTTGGCGAGGAATGTGAATTCTAGGTTTTCAAGTAAGCACCTAGCAGAGTTGGTGACAAAGACAGCCATGGCTCACGTGCCACGTGAGTACAAGGAACTTTATGGGAAAATAAGGGCGACAAACGCTGCTTGTGGGGTGTATTTGGCTAAAATTGGTACAGGTCGTTGGTCAAGAGTTAATTTTCCTGGTGAGAGATTCAATATAATGACAAGTAATATTGCTGAGCAGCTGAATAATGCGCTCTTGGAAGGGAGAGGAGCAAACATTCTAGAGTTGTTAAAGTTCATTCAGAGAATGATGACTAGGTGGTTTTGTGCGCGCAGGAGGAAGGCGGCGAAACACAGTGGGGCTGTTAGTATAGAGGTGGACAAAGAGATGACCAAAAATATGGCTACTGTTAAAGGAAGTTACATAAATTCTGCCAATGAGTGGACTTGTCAAATTTTGGGAAAATTTGGGAGGTCTGACAAGGTAATGCTAGCTGAGAGGAAGTGTAGTTGTAAGTATTTTGATAATATCAAAATACCTTGTGGACATGCTATACTAGCGGCTAATGGTCTCGGAGTATCTACGGATACATTGTGCGGTCATTGGTATAAGACATCTGTGTGGCGTGAGACATATTCTGGTGTAATCAATCCAGATGAAGACCCAAGGGACGTGGAGATACCAGAGGAACTAAGAAAGAAGGTTGTATATCCTCCAAACACAAAGAGGCAGCCTGGACGTCGTCGGAAGACACGCATCCCCTCCACGGGAGAGATAAAGGTGAGGATAGTTGATTTGTAATTATAATGTTTTAAATAGAGGTATTGGTGAGAAGTTTGGTTTGTTTGTATTTTTGTAGGTACCGAAGAAGAAAGTAAATCTGAACAAGTGTGGTAGGTGTAGGGGAGTTGGACACAACCGCACCAATTGCGTGTGTCCCATCTAAGCTTGGAGTTGTGCTGTCTAAGGTTTTTTGTAGTAGGTGAAGGAGATGAATTTTTTGTGGAGATTAAGGTGGATGGTTGTGGCGGATTATGTGATTGTTGTTCTTGATGTAACTCTTTTGAAACAATTTAGTGAGAGCAAACATTTTTAAGGTGGGTTGCAGTGATGTTTTGAGGTTATGTGATTGTTGTTCTTGATGTTACTCTGTTGAAACAATTATTTGTGACCAAACAATTTATTGAGAGCAAGCATATGTTATCTGGGTTTTTAAATTCTAAACACTGTTTAGGGAGCATTGATTTTTTGAGGTTTTGTTGAGATTTGTCTAAATCAGATGCTTGTTACTGGATGATGTTGTCAAAGAATAACGTGAATCGTTTTTTTCACAGTATGGAGGTGGACTTTAGAATACAAGTTCATGAATAACTTGAAATAGAACTAGTGCAAGATGTTAAAACTCTTGAAAGAAAAGCATTAGTTGAATTCAGGGGATATGAGAACAATATTATCAAGAACAACAAACATAGGAACAAATACATTTAAACATATATTAGTCTTTTTTTAAAAAAGAAATAGTACTTGGGGAAAAAAGGCATTAGTTGCAATCCTAAACATAGTAGTAGACGATTACAAGCTAGGGATATCATTAAAAACAGCTTGTTGTTCAGTGAATTGGGAGCAGATTCAGCTAGTCGGTAATCCTAGCATAGATCCAGGCCATTGTGCCAAGTGTAATGGCTGCAACTGCGATGTTGGTCAATGAATTGACAGAAGAGGACACCTGGGCGGGCGCGAGTGTATCTGTCAAAGCTGAGTTGTCCTTAGTTTTAGTGTTAGCATCCAGAAGCATTTTGATCTGGTGTAGGGTTTACTGGATTTGTTTTGCCTGTTTTTCCAAAGTTGTTGTTGTGGACAGCTTGAAATCGTCGACATCTTCCTTTAGTTGGGAGTGTTTTGCATCAACAATGTTAATTTCGTCGACAATTGCCTCATCGACCCACTTGAACAAGTGGTGCTCGTTTTTCCTCTGATAAAGAGAATTTGTCGGATTAGTACAGAACAAAAGAAGATGTGTAATGAAGGTTGGAATTATGTGTACCTTTAGCCAGATTTCACATCGATAGAACCTTCGGAAGAGATTTTCTTTTGTTTGAGCACCAAATGTAGTCAGGTTAGCTCCACACCAACAGCGAGTGGGAATTCCAGTTGTTTGTCTACCTGTGTGTGAAATTGAAGAGGCGGAGGACGAGCTCATGACGATGACTGTCGTTTAAGAAGATTGGGAGTGTTTTAGGGAGTTAATCGAAAAGGTTTGAGGATTGGGAGAGTTTTAGGGATTTTGTTGGTGAAGATACTAAATGAAAATGGAATTTAAGCTGACGTCCGTCGTCTGGTGCAATAGTAAGAGGTCAGCGGTTATGGATGTGGACAGAAAAAGTGTGTGGACCGAATCGTCATGTGGATGTGGACAGATAAGTGTGGTGAATGTAGTTGTGGATGTGGACATTTGTGAAAAGGCCATAATGACAAAATTTTAGTCATGACAAATGGAGAACCGTTTCAGAACTTAAGATACGTAAGACATTACCAAGGCTTATGCTTGGTAATTTATAAATAGGTTTATGTTTTTGGGTAGTTACATTACTGGCACTTAGCTACAACAAATAAGTATTCCAAAAGTATTCGGACACTACACATACATTAGACAGAAAATGTTTGGAGGAGAATCAGTGCAGTGGCTGCTAATCATCAGTGCAGTGGGCAGCATAGTATGCAAACAGGACCATTGTCTTGTAGATGTCCATTGCGTACTGCTTGCGCATGTCGTCGACGATGTGGTCTGTGATTCCGGCCATTCCAGGCTCAGAATCACCATGTGCATGCAACTCTAGGAATTTCAAGGTAACAGGTCCGCAATCACCGGATCTTCCGTTAATGTAGATATCTGGAATACGGCTGCAAATAAAAGGCTTCACACCAGTGAATTGGGTTAGCTCACACATGGCAACTTTCTTAACAAGATAAGGGAGGGAAGCCAACACGGGTTTCATCCACTTAGCCATACGTCTAACTCCGTTCAAAGCTGGGAGAGGATCAAGAATTTCAACCAATCCCATATCGAGGTTGATGGCTAACCCAACCCAGTGATTCTTGTTCCATAGCATAGGCGTGTAGATGGTTTGAACGTCCTCCATCCATTTCTTTCCAGGGCAGAGAACAATGTCCACCAAACGCTGGTCCCACGCGTAACTCTCTTTCTTCTTTGTCCCACACTTGTTGAAATTGATGAAAATCTCGTTAATAAGTGAAGCAAGTTTTGGTGGGGCGAAAACAGCTTTTTCAGTCTTAAGGATCTCAGTGTGTCTCGTGGAGAGCATGTGGACAAGAATTTCCATTTGCTGCTCAATTGCAAAAATTCTGTGTTAGACAAAACAAAATACGAGAATTACCTACGAAGCTCACATAGATATTGACTTACATATTCGTTTGTTCATTGCTTAGGCTGCGCAATTTCGAGCAGAGATTTGTTTGTAAACTCGAATTGAAATGGAGTGCTATGGTACCTGTATCATCATGATTTTATATGAAGGGAATAAGACGAGATTGCAAATTCTTGTACCACAAGGAAGTGCCACTGTGATGATGTTAGTAAATCTTACACATCGATGTGGGTTTTGAGAATGCTTTGGAAAAGATCCCATTCTTTCTCTGGGAGTGGGGTGATGAGATCCAAAGCCGGAATTAGTGGAGAGCTGAAAAATTCCTTAGCGAGAAGGTTCTCGAGCATAGATGGAACGTATCTCGGTGGGTCTTTAGATGTTGTGAGATCGACGAAGGGATCTTCGGCAGTCTGATTCTTTTCATGTCCAGTAAATGAAAAGTTATCATATTTGTGGAGATATGTAAAATCAGGAGATCGGTCATATGTATTTAACACATACCTCATTAACAGAAGTGTGACGTCCGAAGGGAGGAGGCGAGTTGGACGAAGCTGTGGCTTTAAACGCATTGGGTGTTGTTGCGTGGGTCGCGAAACCAAGACCACTTTCATTGCTCTTGACCGGTGATGTGAGTGGAGTGAAAGGTAGTGGAGACAACCGCACCCTTTTTCCTGGAGGAGAGGATGGACCAGCCGTTTGGTCGAATATTGGACCTGTCGAATGTGGCGTCTCTGGGCTAACATCCGTTTTGTCGTAAATCCTGAGACCATGATATAGTAGGTGATTAATCTCGGGGCTGTCAGGGTGATCAGCTTTTTCGTAGATTTTAGACGGTGGGTCCCACTGTCCTGGGTATAGTGTCCCAAAAGTTCGAGTCTCCGAGGGCTTCTGAATGGGGGGGCACGGGAGTTGTCTGGTTATCGTTGTCAGGTTCATTGGCTGTCTCATTCTGGCTTGTTGTAGGTGACTGAGGCTGATGGTGCACATAATCCACAGTCTAGAATGCAAACCAAAAAAGGGTATATGAGAGTGTGCAGCATGAGAACCATATATTTTACATCTAGTGGATTAGTGAAAATCACCTGGTCCGCCACATAATGCTGATGTGGGACAAGAACAAACATCTGGCACAACTTGGAATTGTGGACATCCTCTGTGTCGTGGTCAATATCATCCACTTCCTGAAATGTAGGGGGTCGACATCGTACAATGATAATGGTAAATAATTAGTCAAGGTTGAATTCGGGGACATGTTATGTGAAATCTTGGATGACTGAACATCACCTGGTCGCCATCAGAATTTTGCTCCTGAGTGGTCTTCTCAGGTGAGCTGTGGATGGTATCTTGATTGTTTGCCAGATCATCCACATCCTACAATGAGAAAAAAGGGTTGTTCATGTTAATAAAGGTGGTCTAATTAGTAGGAACTAAAACTTGTAATTAAATGTGAAAGAAGGAAGGTTTGAGCTTTACCTGGTTTGTGGAATTCATGTCATCTTCTGAACTTTGATGAGGTGAGCCGTGGATGGTGTCAGTGTTCTTTTCCATACCATCACCATCCTAAAATGACAAACATGAAATGTGGTCCATTAACAGTAACTCAACTCAATTCCAGAAGGAGGATTCACGCATGACTAAATGAAATTTAGCTGCTCTGTAGGATTGAGTTCATCAGTGGTCAGACCAGTGTCCTCAGCTGAGAGATGGCCAATAGTAGTTTGGATGGTTTCGTTGGAAGCATTCGTGTTCATGTTTTCATTAGCCTGACGGTGGAGATGAGCTGTATACTGACTAATTATAGGTGAGTGGGGCTCCTCATGATCATCTCTAGACGTAGCATCCAAATCCTATAGGGGACACAAAAAACAGAGTATTAAAATTTATTAACTTATATTTAACTTTAAATTAGATGGCTGGATGCGTATTTAACTTAAATCACCTTGTCAGTTGGCGGGTCGACATCGCTTGGTTTGACGTGTGAAGGCTCAACACCGCTCTGATGTGTGGGAGGAACATCCTATAAGCAGAAGTGACAGGGACAATAAGAAACTAATAGCAAAGACTGCAAGATTTTGTTAACTCCTGATACCTGTTCTTCCAAATGAGATGTCCGATGATTCTTGGAACGAGATAGCAGTGTGTGAAATGAAGATTTTCTTCCATGAGATTTTCTCTTCATCTTTATATATCTCTTCATTTGTCTCATCTGCTTCTGAAGTTCCAACACAATCTCCGTAAGTTGTACGTTGGTGAAACTGTTGGCATTTGAGCGTGTGAAGTAAGAACTTATGCGCCTTTTCTTCGTTGAAGACGTCTCTTTCTTGATGAGCGGATTTGGTTTGAGAGATTGTTTGACACGATTGAGCTCTTTCTTCCCGTGACGGTGACCACGATCTTCAGGCTGTTTAAGCAAAGGAACCGTTGTTACCCCACCAGGCCACATAGTCTTGTTGAAAGTGTAGCTATCAGATATCAACTGTTCCATGTAAATAATGTGATCGTCCTTCATTACATTGGACCACTCGCCCCAACCAGTCTCCGGCTGCCTTTCGATATGTATGACCGGTGAGACAAGAAGCTGATAACACAATTTAACAAAGTAAAATTTACCATTAGAACAGGTTGGTTCAAAAATTTATTGTGGACGTGGACATTAAGTAATAAGTGAATAGTTAGTTTGAGATAGAATGCCCTCAATATCTTAACTTTTTTTAAAAGGTAAACAGTAGCAATGAATACGCTTGTGGACGTGGACATTAAGTAATCAGTGGTTAGAATGACCTAAGTGTATAAACTTTTATAAATGGTAAACACTAGGATGTCGAGAGCAGTAAACGGGTTACTTACATTAGAGGATGACCTAAGTATATAAACTTTTATAAATGGTAAACACTAGGATGTCGAGAGCACTAAACGGGTTACTTACATTAGAGGATGACCTAAGTATATAAACTTTTATAAATGGTAAACACTAGGATGTCGAGAGCACTAAACGGGTTACTTACATTAGAGGAGAATTTGACCCGAAGGATGTCAAGAGCACTGATGGAGCCGTGTTGCGGTAGGTAAGCATCTTCAAGGTCCATCAGCGTGCGGTGGTCGGGAGGAGCATGGATGAACTCAGGCAGTTGGGGGATGGCGCGGAAGGCAACCAACTGGAGTGTAAGAGGAAAGCCCTGAAGACGAAAAGATTTCTGCTTCAGTTTGTGCACGAGCCAAGAGACATGATCGTTGATCTTCGGTGGAGCAGGATTGGGTGGTTTCATGCACGAGATGGTCTTGCAGAATGATTCTCTACCCCAAGGAAAGGCAAAGAAGGTTTGGAGGCTTGAAAGCATGCTGACATATCGAGGAGTGGGGCGGGGTACTTGTTTGTGGGCAATGAGAACACCGTCGACTATGATAATAAGAGCTATACGAATCCTCTTCCAAGCAGACATGTTCTTATCTTCCTCAAGCATCTAACAAAGCTCAGCTATAGTTATCATCTTCTTGTTCCCAAAAAGTTTCTTCCAAACTCGATCTTTGCACACAACAACTGACTTGGCTGTGTCAGGATGGTAACCTTCTGGAAAAGAGCCACAATTCAGACCTGTTACAGTTCCAAACTCTTGGAGACCGTAACGAAGAGGGTTCCCACCAAAAACAGACCAGAGCGTGTGGTCGTCCTCACATAGTAGTTGTCTAGTGAGGAACGAGTGAATGATCTTTGTAGATACTGGAGCTTGACGGGAAGGAATGTCGAATAGCTTTCCAAAAGAAGACTGCCGGATGGTTTTGAACTCGGGAGTGTCTCTGAGATGATGACGAAGGAATGAGAGGATCTCCGGCGAAGAGTATATGTTAAGTTTGTTAATGGGGAATCTATCAGTGGCAAATAGCCTCAATGGGAGACGCTGATCCGGCTGCGTGATTGCTGAAAGAGAATGAGACAAACATTAAAAAAACAGAAAATGTCTACAAGGTCGTCAAAATCAGTAAACACTTTATTCTTCTGAAATGAAAAATTTGTTCTGTCGAAATCAACAACAAAATTTATTGGAACAGAGAGATAACATAGAAATCAAACAGAGCAAAACTTAATGGAACGGCGAAAAACCCTAGAAATGAAACGGAGAAATATCGTAGAAGTAAAAACAAATCGAAGAGACACGGCGAAACTAACTCTCTTTGTAAATCCAATCGAAACTAACTCTCTTTGTAAATCCAATCGAAAAGACACGGCGAAACTAACTCTCACGGCGAAACCCAGTTAAAAACAGAGATCGACAAACAAACAAAAAAGAGACGGCGAAAGATAAAGACTTTGTATAACAAATCGTAAAGGAGAAGAGATACGACTAAAGGATAAGTCGAAACTGCGAAAGATTTAGGTGAAGAAATCAAATCAAAAATCAACAAAAAATCGAAAAGAAGGGGAGAAGGATTAGGTCAAATACTAACCGGAGGAAGACTGAGAAGCGGCAGTTCTTTTCTTAGCCGACGCCTGGGAAGACTTGGGTTTCTTCTTTGCCATTGAAGTTCGTCGAAGATTTTGGTTTTGCGAAAATCTGGATATGTTGATTTATTTTAGAAATGTTTGGATTTGTCGTACACAAAAAAAAAAACTGAGATTAGAAAATAAGAGGAACCATAGTTAATTCCTCTGGTTAAGACAACTAGTGTCTGGTGTAATACGAGGGCAAAAAAGTCATCAAACAGACATGTTGTGTTTCCCAAGTGGGAAGTGTCTTATCCAGTAATTCATAACACAAATTGTGTCCTAGAAGGTAAAAAAGTCAACATTTTTTGTACCATATCAGTATATTTTTTTTTTGTCAGCCATATCAGAGTTTTAATAGTAAAAGTGTTAAACCCATCAATACGTTTGTTTCAGGTAAAAACTACAAAAGGAGTAAGTTTTAACATACCTCTGAACCAACTTTATATAATGAACTAGATCAAGAGGGCGGGTATATTTTTTTGTTTTTATTTTTTTAGCTAATACAAATTATATGTTTGTATTATAGTATAATCATATTTTTTTGCGCTGCTATTAGTTTTTTGTCTCAGTTTGAAACATAAGTTATGGAATAAAAACACTTAATGGTTTTAGTTATTTTAAAAGTGGTCTCAGCTATTTAGGAATTTACAGTGGAAGTTAATCATTATGAATGCAGAGTACAAAGTAGTTATTGTTATATCATTAAATAAATATGTTTGAAAATAAGTTCAGTGGCAAAAGATGTAATATGCCACGTAGTAGTATGGGTAATAGTTAAAAGTGGTCCTAAATTAATAATATTAATTTGGTAACTATATTAAATATATCAAGTTAAATAACCATACACTTATGTCATATGCATTTTAGAAATAATTTTTAAGCTGTATTCACAAAATTTATAATATATAATATTTTTAGTAGTTATTTAACATAATTAATTAAAAATATTTGTATTAAAAAACTGCTTCAGAATCGACGTGAAAATCAAAGTGTCATACTCTATTAGACATGGTTTATATACTCGAATGGTTCTTAAAATATTATGTATGAAAACCAATATCAAACCTAACACACACCAAAAACCGAAATTGTTTTTTTTTAAAAGAATATTTGAAAAGGTCGAATAACTTATTTAAAATACGTTAAACTAAGAGTTTGACTGGTTTAGCCGCCACCACCCGCAAACTTAGCTTTTGCGGTTGATAGCGGTGGGTAACGTTTTGTAACAATCACAAGAAACACTATAAATCGCTTCAAAACGCTCTAAACCTGTAAAATCCAAAAGCTGGTTCCAGCTAGCGTTTGCGGTTGTAGGCAATTGCGGGAGGGTAAAAAAATTTTTTTTTTTCAATAACTTATATAAATATAAAAATAAAATGTTCAATTAATTTAAAAATTAAAATAATAAAATTACCAATGTATATATATCATATTTTAATTTATATTAGAGAACTTCAAAACAAAAATATTTTCTATATTTTTTTTTAAAAAAATGATTAATATAATTTTATCAATATAACTTTTATATTTATTATAAAAGTATGATTTTATTTTTTTTGATAGTTATATAAATTGTAAATATTGTTACTTTATTATTTAATCGCTGTTACATTTGGTAGTTAACCAGTCATAAGTATCCCGCAAACGCACCAAATTCTAACCGTAGTACCAGTTGTACAAATCTCTTAAAACCGCTAGAAACTGTAACCATCCGCATCCACAAACTCCCGCAACCGCAATCGCAACTACTGCGTTTGAACCAGTCAGGCCCTAAACAGTTTTATATGAATATGTATTTCTATTGAAAGTCCACTTAAACCTCATTAAATCCCGTTATCATAAAAATTAAAGGGCATTAATAACCCGTTCACTACATGTTAATATCAATAATAGTTAACTTTATTAGTTAACGTTTGAAGTTTCATTTATAGTAAAAAAACTTAAGAAATATATTTTCATCTGTTTATCAACATGTATTCAGAAATATTGAATATTTAGTTACAATATATTTTAAGTTTCAGATAAATTTAGCTACATATTAAGTTAGGAAAGAGGTTTATAAATATATATCATCGTGTATTGTTTTTCTTTTTTCAGTGGCATTCTCGTAATTCTTTCTGTTTTTCCAAAAAAAATATTTTAGAATTCTCTACAATATTTCAATGGCTGCCATACTTTCATAACTGATCGATGTTTTTCGTTTGTTTTGTTGTTTACGGTTTGATTATCTATTCTATTAATAGGTCATGAAAAGTAACAGACAAATCATCTTTTTCTACTAAAGTAATTCATCCCTAAATTCTAGGAAGTAAGGGGAGGGGAGGTTATAAAATGGCAAGTCTCGTTATAATATATATATATATATATATATATATATATATATATATATATATATGTCAATACTGGCAGTTAATTATTCTTAAACATGGATTATAAATAATTAGTTGGACTAAACAAATATTAATTGGTCACACTGCTGTTTTAATAGAATAGATTAGATTGTGTTTTCATAGTACCAGTTAAATAAATCTATATTATAATATCATAGTTTCTGCTTACTCCTCAGCGCCACGTCAGCAGATATGTAGATAGCACTTAAAAATCTAAATATTAAAAGATAAAAAAATTATATCGTCAATTTAACCTAACCCTCTTTTTCTCACTGCGTTGATCCTTCACT